GAAGCAGTCTATAGCCTTTTCCTGTATGTGTTTTCAACTACTTAAAAATGAATTTGGCTTAAACAACTTCAAAGTCAGTATGTTTCGTTTGAATACGCTTTCGTTATGCACTTCACAGATGCATTTTCATACTTCCAAGGCACAATTTGTTTTTTTTTTTTTTAGCAAAAAGAGTATAAAAGTTCGAAACATTTACTCATTGCATTTGCTTTAAAGTAGTCTTTCAATTAGTTGATTTAAAAAAAAATCACTTTTTTCCGTCCGAATGTTTATCCAGCCGGGTGATAAAACGCACCTATAACCTACACTCAATCGAAAAAGGAAAGCTAGAACTCGACTTAGGAAAATTCTCAATCAAAGTAGATACAAATCTTTCATATTCAGCCTTATCATGAGTTTCATTTCCCCGAACCGGTTCACGATTCACTTTTTGTTTCCGCGTATTTACTATGGCGAATGTGAAATTTTCGGGTCAATTATTATTTTTTCGTTCGAAACTCAGAATAAGGCTGATTATGAAATTAGTTAAAAGTTTTTCCATTTCTCTTGTAGTATAAAATTTCTAATATAAATATATCTTTGGCCTATTTTCCGGTTTTAAATGTTTTATTGCCGTTTTCGCTATTTTATTTTTTTTTTTTTATAAGGTTTTTAAGTTCTAAAAACCCATTCCCTGTTAGTAACTAGGGATTTACTTTATTCAAACGCACGTACTCTAGCTTTCACCAAACGCAGTGGCACAACGAAAATATAATTTACACATAGTTTATTGGTTGAGCCCCGCATGACTTTGAAACGAGTTAAAAGTTAGCCGTAATTAGTGGACCAAAAGTTAGTTGTTTTAGTACTCGACTACGAAATCCCCGATAGGGTACGACCAAATGCAAGGGCCATGATGTACATACACTAGGGATGTTAATTTTTTCGATTATTACGATCCCGGGATTTTCGGGATGTTGTTGGTTCAATCCCGAGATCTCGGGATCAGTCCCGGGATTTAGATATTTATTATTTTTCAACGACTTAACATGAAAAAATTTCATCAATATGGTTTGAGAAGCTCTCCTACCATATAATAAATAGTAAGTAAATGGGTTTGAAACGTATTTTTGATTTAAAGTGAAAACTATTTCATAAGTAACAAAACGAAAGACAGTAATTAAATCTATATGAATTTAGTAATACTTTAGTATGTACATATCTGATAAAGTAATTTAAAACATGTCGAAAAAAGTTCGAAGGAAAAAAAAAATTTAACAAAATATTTATTTTCTGGTTGAAATAAGCTCATAATACTTGTGGCAGGAATAAAAGAAGCGCCTTAATTCGACCAGTTTTCTATATTCCTTTTGTTAATCCAAAATTTAAAAATTAAAAAAAATTTTTTTTTTAAATTCAGTGCAATTTAAAACAAAAGTATGGGCACCAAATGAAATAATTTTTTTGGGTTCACAAGGACGAATAGCAATTGGAAATACCCCTTCAATCTATTTTATTTTTTTAAACTAAAAAGTTAGTCCTTAACATATAATTTTTTTCAAGAATAAGAATTGAAAAAATTCAAGGATATTCGAGGATCAAATTATAAAAGGGCACCAAAAAATCGAATGTGTTTTAACTCTACAGAATCTTCTCCTTCATTTGATACCCATACTGGTTTTTTAATATATTCAATGAAATTTTTTAATCATTTTTTGAATTACTGATATCTTTAGAACGCAATTTTACTATATTTTGGGATTCTAGGCAAATAATCCCGGGATTAATATTCCTAACATACACACACAAGTAGGTTCATTAGTATATATATTTACAACTACATATTCTTATCTGACTTCATTTCTGCAAACAAACAACACTCACATGAACGTGTTCAGTTTTTCTGTATGAATGGGTGTAAGTAAGTCACTTACTAATTAATTTTCGCGCTACACTTGTAATCCAACACTCGCAGTCAGTTGTTTAACAAGCGGCCCCATGGAATTTCGGTTGTGCATGACTTTTGATAGTTGTTTTGTAGTTTAGTCCTCCTATAATGAGAACTTCATTGTTATTTCTTTCGTCACGTCTTTACTGCAATGTTGACCAAGCGGTCGACGATATGTATATGTATTGTCATAGGAAGAAGGCAGCGAGTAGCTACCCAAAGGGAAAAATTTGAAGCAGCTAGTTTAAGTTTGTGTTCGAATAGAAAATTCCTTTAGAACATGCCTCCATGTAAGGTTTCTTTTACATATACATTTTTTTCTACAAAAAGGCGAAAGTTTCGAGGTTCAGATATTTAGTCACTAAAGGTCACGTACCTTTTTGACTAAATCGTTTGAGGGCATACCAATTTTAAGTTTAAATTCAAACCGATTTCTAAATAATTTTCTTTATACTAAACTTTTTTTTTTGTTAAATTTTAGTTGAAACACTCCTATATATTACTCGCATTAACGTTCCTCCAGAGCCTTGTTAAAACAGCACGCAAAACATTAAAAAAAAAACTGAAAAACTCCACAAAGTTCAATGATCCTCCAGCGTCGCATTTTCCGCTAATTGAAAAAGCAAATGAGTGGAGCAAGTGAATGACTACTGGGTGACTAACTGCCAATAAAAACGGTCACTCTTGCTCTCTTGCACTCATCCAATGCGCTCGTCCCCTCATCAGCCCATAACTTTGCTTTGGGTGAAAAGTAAGCGAAATACTATTCAGTGTGCTGCACTCGTTGCTGTTGCGGCTTCATTATCGCACATTTGTTTCGTTATATGCTTATGCACTATTTTTATTTTAGCAAGTTTATGCTTTTTTATGACTGTTGCTGGGACGTTTACGCGTGCCACAGTAGGAACTGCATCCAAATACCTTATTATTAAACGAAGTTTGTTTGCTTAGAATTTTTGGCAAGATATTTTTACAGTTTAAATAAAATAAAAAGTTATAAACAAATACTAGATTCTAGGTCTTTATGAAATGACATTAAGAAGAATAAAATTGGCAGAGCAACAAGATTCGCTTCCTATTATAGGAAGGACAGGTAATCGTGGAGGTTTTGAAGGGCGAAAGGTTGTTCCACAATAGCCGGTATTGATGGTAATCGAGATAGCCACCGACGCTACTAGTGTAGCAAAATACCATGAGTTTTCCATGAGCTGGCTTCATAAAAGCGTAAAGACCTTAAATCATTCGAAAAGGGAGATTTAATATACATCCCCAGAGTATTTGGTAAACTCACTCTTGTATTGGGGTATCATGCTGAACGCAACCATTCCGATCCTGTAGTTTGGTGAGGATAGAATATTTTTATGACCCATGCCACTTTATCTGTATCTACGATGTCTAAGTCGCTGCTTCCTGGTGAGAACCGGCAATGCGATTCATGAAACCTGTCATTGCTTTGTCCGTGTCTTGCAATTTGTTAAGTAACCCGTAGCAAGTCGATGATTTCAGTACTTGGAATCATCGTTCTTCGAACTTCACGATGGGCACAATATTCGGGCCTATAAAGAAATAATCGGACGTACCTACCTACGGACGGTTCTAAGTGAGGAGTTACTTCGAGCTGAGCTATCAGAACCTGGACTTCGTATTTTCAGCAAGCTCCGCGAAAGACTAATCCCCCAATGTTGTCCTCAAGCTTCGATACCATAAGCCGACCTCAACACCTCTTTGGATTCTCGTTGTAAATAGTAGGCACCTGGACTCGTTTATCTGTTTGTGTGAAAAGTTGCCGACGGTTGCGACCTATCTGACTTTTTTTTATCGGTATCTGGCCCGCTTAACCCTTTTCTTTGTGGAGAGCAATGGCAAGACAGAGGGTTCAGGAAACCATTTTAAGTGGATTTTTATTACTCGTTCATATAATTCGTGCTCAGATTTATTCTAATGGTACGCTTGTCTTAATTTTTATAAGGAATGATACAGATATCCACCGTGGGCGGGGGACTTCTGCAGAAATAAGAGGCTGGGTGGTTTCAAGAGTAATAGCATATCCGTTTCAGAGCCAGTCAACAAAGTTCGCTTCGGAGTCACTTCGGCACTCAGTGATGAGTTTCCCGAGCAACGTTTACCGCCGGTACTAGCTGTATGTAATCGAAAAGACCCAGATTTATCTAACCAAACACAGTCGATCCAGCATCATTCCCCGAAAAACTCTTTGGGAAATTTGTATGCTGTTACAACAACAATCGTAAGTCTTCTGCATGGCTTCCTCTATACCAGTGCTCGTCAAAGTGGTGGTCCGCGGACCGGTGCCGGTCCGTAAGCCATAAGTCGACGGTCCGCAAAGGGCGTCGCGAAATGGACAACGATTTTTTAAACGATTATATATACATATACGACTATATGTATACTCCACACTTCTAACCATGGTACAATTATCTACATGGTAGTAGCACTAGAAATTTCACGTCCGATATGTCAAAATATTAAGTCATATGTGCTTATAATATGTCTTATTATTATAACTTTACAGTTATTACATTTGTGATGTTTTATATTACTGTTTAATGAGGCTATATACAACTTGTATAATAAAAACAACTTAAATTTGTTAAACATTCATAAAAAATCGCTAATATCTGCTATCATTAAATGGTAATAGGTCATATATAGACACCCGGCTAATAAAGAAATTCATTTAAACAAATTTTAATACATATATGAGATGATCGTAAACGAAAAATAATCAATAAAAAAAGGTACCGGTCCCCGACGTAATAGAAAAACTGCAGCCGGTCCGTCACACTCAAAAGTTTGACGAGCACTGCTCTATACGACCCAGAAGAAGACTACATCTCGAAACAATATGTGCTTTCAACCCGGTTTAGAGAGATACTACTTATGTAATTAAGCGGTTGAATGGCTCTGATAGCAAGTGAGCTGCATCAAATATTCAAAATATTTTATTTCAAAATGAACAATTAGATAAGTTAAGAAACAATATGCTTAAAGAGAACTGCAGGATATGGTTGTCAATTTATCAACATAGCTGGCGCATATGCATATGAAGTTAAATTTAGTTGGGTTTTTCTTCCAAGCTAGTCCGCAGGAGTGTGAAGAATTGATAAGAGGTGGTACAGAGCTGTCCCAAAAACGAAAAAAGAGTAAGATTTAAAAAATTAACTCTCAAATATTTAGAAGTTACTAACAAATATTTATCTCTCCATTTACCGATTTGAAACTATTCATTGAGATCTCAAAGAATTGAAAAGCCGTCAAATGTGCATAACGCTGAGCGCGTGCTATGGGCAACACCAGCAATCGCATATATTTGTAGTTTGCTTTGTACCAGGCATGATTGTAAAATGCATCACTTATGCCAGAACTCTGTGGAACGATAAGCAATTTTTAGTGAAGTGTGAATATTTTCGTTTAAAAAAGCTTTTCGTTTTACCAAATCAATGAGATTGTTGCCAAAGTAGGAGATGAAGTACACGTGCACCATAGTTGCGATGAGAAAAGCTAGAAATTTTACGATGCTCAAGAACTCTGTGCCGCCAACCAATTGAACTCCTATGAGACAAAGCACCATGCAGGAACCCATATAGTTCAGAAGGATCGATAGACTAAAGGTGGAATCTATGCGCTCGGCGTAGCTGAAATTATATGAAAGGCACTAAGTAAGATCAAACAAATTATTTGAACTCAAAGGAGAATAGGGAACTTTCAATGTTTTTCTTTATCTTCAGAATAGAACAATAAATCCGAAGTTCCATCAGTCATTTAATTCCAAGCCTTGTCAATTCATTACCACTTACCCCAGTATGTCGAGGTGATATGTCACCAATGGTTCCAGTACTTCTATATCCTCGTCTGTGCCGCTTGGCTGAAATTCCTCAATATATCTGCCCAGATACTCAAAATGCATATTGACAACGTGTACGAGAGTTATTAGTAACAAATCGGCACCCAAAAACAAGAACGAGACACAATATGAGCCACAGCATTGCATTAAATATGAAAATAAGTAGAAAATTGGCTTCTTCTCGTCGTAATAATACCACATCATGAAGGGAAATCTATAATTGAATCCCTGCTCCTTATCCTTACGCCATATGTACTCCACAGTCGATGAGACGATCGGATGTAAATTGAACAGACTCGTCGTACCGAGATGCCAGATTGTCAAATATTTGTTGTAGGCAATAATTTTCTGATAGTAAGGCACCAAGCGAAAGGCATGACGTTGCTCTGGCGTCTTCGGATGCCTTGCCATTAAGCCTTTAATTACGAATTCCAATTTATGTCGTCCGACCCACAATGTACCACCCTTCATGAAAGAATTTAGTGCAAATCCCCAATAGATGGTGAGCGCAGTGTAATCTAAAGCACTTTCCAAGTGGCCGAAGAAGAAAAACAGTATCATGGCAATAACATTAAACAATATAATCATGCAGCAATTGCGCAGGAGTATTTTTTGTTTTCGTGATGGTGGCTCATCTGGTGTCCATTTGAAAAGTTTCTCACCATTCAGACTTAGCAGAAATAGAGGTATTTTCACGAAATCCGCTATGGTAGGTGCTGTTTCAGCCGATTCGAAAAGTGAAGGCATGGCCGCGAGCTGGCCCGAAATCCATAAATGCTAAGCGGAATAGTTTTGAAGTGAAAATGTTTGTAAACAAAAGCTTGGTACCCTTTTTATAAGTATGCAACGCTGTACAAGGGCGGCGCTCAAAGAGGGGCGTGTGAAAAGCAATGTAAAGCTTTAAGGAAACTAAGCTAGATGTGCATAAAAGACAATGGATTTTTTTTTTTTTCATTAAAGGCCATATGGCGGATGCCTAGCCGTAAAACTGCACTTGCGACTAGACAAAGCATCGACAGAGAGGAGACTCTAGGAGCCAAAATTCTTGTACTGATTATATGATGTATTAATCGATATATATACCTACGGCCTGGAGGGATCTAGCTGCGGATTTCTCGTTAGATATTGTGTGTCCATTACAAGCCTCCCCTACTAAAGATGGTACTACACCTCTGAAAAATAAGCATGCAATTGCGATGGATATCTACTTGCTTGGAACCATTTTTATTTATTTATTTTTTTTCAAAATTAGAATAATTTCGCATTGCATGGAAAGTGCGACAGTTGTTTGTTTGCAAACAATTATTTCTCTAATGCAAGGAAATTAAGTAATTATATTCGTAATGTGACGAATTAAAAAATATTTCGTATTATAAAAAAATGATATATCTACGGGTAATATAATTGTTGGAATGTACAGATAGCCTTGGATTTGTAGGTATTTTCTTTGGAAATAAGCTACAGGGTTGCACCTGTGCTTAATTTTTGGTGTGTTAAATTTCCGTAATTCCGTTTTTAATTTTGATTTTCATGTATGAGTCGCCTATGCTCGCGCCTCGGTAGTTCATCCTCTGTTTCATATAAGGGCAACTCCGAATTGGTCATAAATTGAGGCCAACTATCTCGTACATACAGCCCACAACAAGTTGTGATCCGACTGTGGGAAACTTTTTTTGAATTCTTGCCTGGCTATCTGGGAGTTTGTTTACTTGCGTATTATTTCATGTACTACCTTTCGCCTCCTTAATTGCTGGCAGTGATACTTACACTGAATATCCGCACTTTGTTTCAAAGGACAGTCTCTTTCATCGAGGTGCTTACCTTTGACTGTATTTATTTTTCTAAAAATCTTTTTTAATTAAATTAATTAAGTAACTAATGCGCAGTGTGGATAAAAACTTAGCAATTGCATTTTCTTAAAAATTCAGATCTTATATTTGAACTTAAGTATGTATTCAAATAAATCGACTAAAAGTTCTGAAATTTCAAGAAAAATCCATTGCTTAGGTTTTATTCATTACTTTGTCGAGGCAAGTTCCTTCACTATTCTTATTGAGTAAAGAAGAAAAAATAGAAAATGAGGATTTTGCAAAGCTTATTTTGCTCTATAGGTACTACTTAGCGGCAGAAAGTCACCATAGCTTAGGCTAAGCAACTCTCCATAGAGAATGTAGAGAGCCCTGGTTCTGCTTAAAGGCCCATTGTGATACAACTGGCGTGACCTGATATGTGCCCCATCTACTTTCGCGTTTAAAGGATTATAATCTATAATTATCTATCTTCTCATTCACAGCAGAAACAAAATTTTTTGAATAAGTGATTGACAGATTGAACCTCAATCATAGCGGTTTCATTTGTCATTTTCTACAAAGGCTGCAAAACTCAAGGATTCTTAATCCGCTGAGAAATCGTAATAGAGATATTTCAGGGCAGTGAAAAAGAAAGTGTTATGTGCTCTTTACCTCCCTCTCGTTCCCGCAACTGCGACACAAGCACAGTATGAACAGTATCTGTGGTAGTATTGTTCCATGACAACAGATCTGAGCCATTGTTCATTTGAAGATAGTTCCATTGTCGGCATTTTGGGAAGATTTGATTAACTAACGATTAGTCCCTTTCTTGCTAGCACGTTTGCAATGCTGTTTCCCGAAATATCTCTGTGGCTGGAAGCCCAGACTACATTATTTATGCATGGCGTAGCCAAATCGGTAAGAACCATTCTGCGTGGACTTTGTACCATCGAAGAGGTATTGTTTAGAGCCATTGCTGAAAATTCAAAGGGAATTAAAGTTTAGCATTTCACACTTCGCCGTTCGCTCCTAACGGGGATTCCTGTCGAAACATGATTATCAAAACATAACCGAGAAGTAAATAATCTATCTAGATATAGCATTTCCAATTTCATTATCAAAATTTAGCTTCTCTCCAGGGCAGATAAGATTTTTTCCTAGCACAATTTCAGCAATACTGGAATTTATCGCAATAAGGACTAATAGAGCTTCATGAACTTTTCTGGAGGAAGGCTAGACACCTTTTGAACTTTTGTACGCGTGGAGCTCCTGGAAAGTTTAACAGGCACCGCTTATGGCTATGCAAATAAGCTATTCAGCTACGGGTGTCTGCAACACTTTTCTCTAGATCGAAGCCTTAGAACTGACTGAGAAAGGGTGCGCTGAAAAGGGTCTACCAATAACTGCACTAAAATCCATCATCGTCAACTTGACGAAAAGAAAGAAAATCAACGTGCTTTAATCCCAACTGGAAGTTAATAAGATTTAGTGATCGCAAGAGGGGAGGTATCTAGAGTAGAGTCCTGAATAAAAGGTTCAACTTAAACAGTGAAATTCTTCGTAGAAAGACAAATGGTGCCACGATAAATATTATGTCTAACAGTCAGGCAGCATCAAGGCTTGTGGACAACTCTATTTATTGTTTGATTAAGCACGCATAACTGGGTATAGCCCTTTGATGGATACAGGGGCATGAGGGATTTGATGGCCGCGAATGAGTTAACGTTCACGCAAAACGTCGGATGCAATGGAGCCTACACAGCAGAGCTACTAGAGTAGTGGGAGGATTCTCAAGCTGCCGCCAAATGGCGGATGAAAAATGGATAAGGCATTATAGAAACCAGCATTATAAAATAGTTCACGAAAACCAGCGAAACATTGATTTACTAACTATATCAGCAATGTGTATTTGTAAAAATGTTTGAATACACGTATGTATACATAATATGAATATGTAATGTATTTTCACTTCCAAAATATGGTCGCCGTAGTGATACCGCAAAACGGCCAATGTAAATTAGTAACCTTGGCGCTTAGAAGTACTGTCTCCCCGATGACGATGAACGATTGACAGAAGCGATACAAAACCGATGACAGGTCATTTAAGCTACAGGGGTAGTAATTGACATAATAAGTTTTTAGCATCACCGTCGATATATAGCTTACGTGGTATAGTAGGTGAAAAGATTGCTTCGAATGAAGCTACTTAAAGAAAATTCCTATCATTGATGCATCTCTAAAGATAGTCATCCTGTCCAAGGACTGGCTCTCTCCCCGTATACAGGCACAGCGGCTTGAGCATTTTATGCTCCCCCAATTAAGTATGTTTTTTGCAAGAGACCCTGTTCGTTTCCCTTCAATTTGGCAAAGTTGGGTAATTATGTCATATTTGTGCAGAACATCAGGTCAGTTTTCTTCTGGTTCACACTAAGCGAAGATTGCCTAGATCAGTTTGCATTTCTATGTTCCTTAACAGAGATACGATTCGCGATCGAAAGCAGCATTTTATCGCTACATATGTTTGCGTCTACTTTATAGCATCTACACATAATTGAAGGTACTCTCAATATCTATAAAGGAGGCCATGGTGAACTGCTTGTAAGAATGCGGACTCTCAGCCGTTTGAATTCTTTTTAAGTACTCATGTCGAGAGTATGTAATACTAATTGCACGCCCTGTCTATGATATGCAAATCGGAGAGCATCTCATAGGTTTAGGCTTAGAAAGACATTCGGCTTATCGGTTTGTAATCTTTATAACGAATTGTCGTGATCACTTTAGTTTAGTTGGTTCATAAATATTCTACTCATAGGAATATTTTAAGTAGATTTTCTTTTTTTTAACTTGGTTGATATCGCCAATATTTCTGCGCGACTAAATAGGACGATTATAATTATTTTGGGTAAGGTAGCTTTCACCTTTCGAGTGAAGCTTCGTCCCTATATATTAGCCCATGTTGTTCTTCGTCAAACGTGCCATCTTATGCCGCGCTATTGAAAAGCATTAAGGAGTGTTGGCTCCATTCAAGTGTGCAAGCCCTCTTTTGGAAACCCTTGCCTGTTGTTGAATTTTTTGTTAGAATATCCGGTCAATCAAATCTTATCTCGGTACCTATCATTCTATTAAATCTTGGCAGTCTTCAGTGATGGTATGTTATACTGATAAATACCGACTTACGATTGTAGGGCCAAATAATGCGAAGAAAAAAGTAAATTTAGTCTTAGGGATTTCGATGGATGCCGAAGGGTGTAATACCTTTGACTCCATCATGATAGTCTTCTCGGACCTAGCTCTTTTCGCAGATACGATTTTCTATGATGTATCGTCAATACCTGGATCCACTTTCGTTATCCCCCTTTAATGAGATTTCGGAAAACAGCCGCACATTTTTCAGGCCCCTTAACGATGTTATTTAGCTGGAGGCAGTTGTTCGCAAACTTGGCACATAAAAGAACCTGTTATTACTTAGAAAGACCAGCGAAGCGTGTAAATGTTTTTAAAAAGTCTCTAAAGACAAGAGTTATATGTTTTCGTGAACGAGTTTTTCATAGCAATAATATTTTATTTCGTAATAAACCACTACAGAAAAAATTTTAGCAACATTATACTGAGCAATAACTACAGGTTATAGCTTTTCAATAAAGATATTTCGGTAAATTGTAGCTATGACCATTATACACAAATATATACAATCTATCAATCCTCTTCAACCAAACTAGTCCGCAGGAGAGTGAAGAATTGATACGAAGTGGTACAAAGCTGTTTTGGACAAAAAATTTCATATTATTTATTAAAAGCTTATGTAAGTGTTAATATGTATCTCCTCCCATACCGATTTGAAGCTATCCATTGAGATCTCAAAGAATTGAAAAGCCGTCAAATGTGCATAACGCTGAGCGCGTGCTATGGGCAGTACCAACATACGCATGTATTTGTAGTTTGCTTTGTACCAGGCAT